CCAAACTACACATTGTAGCCTTCAACGTACGCACCCTATGTCAAAAACCGGTCAACAGGCTTCCTTATCTAGAGCCCTAGAATTTCGTACCATTGATGTATGCTGTGTCTCTGAAACATGTATACAGGATCCTAGTGTGGTCATTCACTTGACCTCACCTCGGCAAATCGGAGAGTCAATGAGATACACTTTTTGTGTATCTGGTGATCCGACGGCCAGCTCTCGTGAACTGGCAGGAGTAGGCATAGCACTAAGCATGAGGGCGGAACAAGAACTGTTAGAGTGTATCCCCGTTAACAGTTGTTTATGTACTGTTCGGCTAAACGGCTCCGTAAGAACTCGGAAAAATAGGGACACACGTCGTTGCCTTTTTGTCGTTTCTGCCTACGCTCCCACCGACAGCAGCTCAGATAAAGTGAAAGATGAATTTTACAGAAAGCTATCTGAACTTCTTCAGAAAGCTAAACGTTCAGACATAGTACTCGTAGCAGGTTACTTAAATGCCCAGATAGGTAGTCTAAACCAAACAGAAAGGCATTTAGGTGGGTATTTCAGTATTCCGACTCAGCGAACAGATAATGGTGATCGTCTGCTGCAACTGTGCTCAAACAATCGCTTATTTTTAGCAAACACAAATTTTAAGCATAAGGAAAGACATCGTCTAACACGGCGACCCCCTACACCAAAACAACGATGAACTCAAATAGACCATATTGCCATCAGTCATGGTTGGAGATGGTCGGTATAAGATTGTTGCTCATTCTGGAGTACCTGCTTGGACTCCGACCATGCCCTAATGCGGGCACACATCTGCTTGCGCCTTACTGGACGCAAAAAAGCCTCAGTAAAAAGACCCGTTAGAACTGAATTGAGTAGCGAGAAAACCAAAAGTAGGTTCCAGGAGCAACTGAGGTCACAATTAGGTAGTTCTGAAAACGAGGCTGACCCAGATGTTGCTTGGAAAGACATACAAGCAGCTGTGGAAGCAGCAGTGACATCTATCAGTGATTTAAACCACAGAGTTTCAAAGAACCAGTGGATTTCTTCAAAGTCTATCACACTGATGGATTCTCGCAAACTCGTCCCATCAGGTTCCGAACATGATGAAGAGCGACAACAAATCAGATCTAGGTTAAGAAAAAGTTTAGGAAACGACCGTTAGCAGTGGTGGGCAACGAAAGAAAAAGAGATGGAAAAGGCGGCGGCTATAGGGAACACAAGACAACTTTACAGACCAATAAGAGAGACTGGAACTAATAAGTCAAGTGTAAGTAAGACTATTTCGTAAAAAGACGACACCCTCGTCTGCTCTCAGTCCAGACGTTTAGAACGATGGGCGGAACATTTCGGAGAACAGTTCAGACAGTGTGAATGGAACATTGAAGTAGGTCCCCCAACTCTTGCTGAAGTTCAAAAGGCTATAGTTAATCTAAAACGAGGAAGGGCAGCCGGTCCAAACGGATTGGCTCCAGAGGTCTTTAAGGATGGTGGTCTAAGGTTAGCGATTATGTTGACTAATATTTTAGCTAAGATCTGGGAGTTAGACGTTATCCCATCTGACTGCTCACAATCACTTATCGTCCCAATATATAAGAGAGGGTTAAAATCATCCTGTGACAACCACAGAGGGATTAGTTTAACTAATATAGTATCTAAAATGCTAGCCTCAATAATTATCAGACGCCTAACTAAGACTCGTGAACTGCAAACACGAGAGAATCAAGCTGACTTCAGACCTGGTCGTGGCTGCATCGACAACATATTCACCATTCGTCAGGTTCTAGAACATAGGCATACTTATCGGCGTCCGACGATGGTGGTCTTTCTTGACTTAAAAGCAGCATTTGACTCGGTAAACCGCGAGATTCTGTGGCAGTGTCTGTCATTGAAAGGCGTACCTCAGAAGTACATAGACCTTGTGAAGGCTCTTTACTCGAACACTACTAATCGAGTCAGAGCTTATGGTGAACTGTCATCTACTTTTGTAACCTCAAGTGGTGTCCGTCAAGGATGTCCACTTTCCCCATTTTTGTTTAACTTCATCATAGATCTACTGATGGAAATAACTTTCTCGTCGACTGAGTTCTCGGGTATTGATCTCCTACCAGGAGATCCACTTATCGACTTAGAATACGCAGATGACATAGTCCTGTTTGGTGAAGACGCTGACAAAATGCAAAGTCTTTTGGTAGCACTGAGCAACAACGCCAAGATGTTTGGAATGCGCTTCTCTCCCTCTAAATGCAAGTTGTTGCTTCAGGACTGGTCTGCGTCAACACCTGAACTAAGGATAGGGAGTGAAGTAGTCGAACGCGTTGACAACTTCACTTATCTTGGAAGTCTGATCATCCCTAATAGGTTGGTGTCTGACGAAATCTCAGCTCGGATTCGAAAAGCTCGTTTGGCTTTTGCCAACTTACGTCACCTGTGGCGAAGGCGAGATATCCGTCTATCAATAAAAGGACGAGTATACTGCGAGGCAGTCCGTTCTGTTCTACTTTACGGCAGCGAAACATGGCCTTTAAGGGTAGAAGACACTCGTAAGCTACTAGTATTTGACCACAGATGCCTTAGAAATATTGCTCACATCTGCTGGGATCACCGGGTAAGTAATAGTGAGGTTAGACGCAGGGTATTAGGAAATGATGGTAAATCAGTTGATGAGGTTATGAATCTTCATCGACTGAGATGGTTGGGCCACGTGTTACGTATGCCTGAACACCGATTACCACGACGTGCAATGCTATCCGGTATTGGAAATGGTTGGAAGAAAGTTAGGGGCGGCCAAACCAAAACGTGGCATCAGTGCTTGAAGTCACTAACTTCTAGTCTGAGCCATGTTGGTAGATGCAGACTACTTGGTTGGGGTCCGCGTGACTATCGTAACCAATGGTTGGAGACTCTTGGTGACATGGCTCAGAATCGATCACAATGGCGTCGGTGTATACACTCCCTGTCTTCCCTTAAACTAAGAGATTAAAATCGCTTCATATCTTTCTTTCTACGAACCAATTCTTTCTTCTTGTACTATATCCTTATATGCAATCTTTCTCTTATATATTACCACCTTTTACCTAACCACTGTTATGAATCCGGTGTTCATCTTGTTGTGCTGATGCGGTATGGCAACCTGGACCGATGCACATATGTGCCTGGTCCTACGTTGTAGCTGACTGACTGGTCACGGCTTATCATTAGAACTCCAGGGAATACCTCTTGAAGCCAGTCACTAGTGCTTCCAGGTTTTCCATTGTGTTTTAGCTTTAAACGACTCATGAATTGAACTATTAAATTACTACAATCTCCGCAAAACCTCTTTCAGATATTAATCTACTAGAGATATATCCGATGAAAATGAACTTTCATTTATTACTAAACATGCTTAAGGCAACTCTGTAATAGAGTGGTGGCTTATCGATTCATTTTTAAATTATATCAAACGATACAATTTAGACTGTAAGTAGAACAGGTTTCAAACTTATAACCCGGTTAGTCAGCGGTTAAACGTTCAATACTATAAATAGTAAGCTATCACTCACATTCAGAGAATCTGTGAAAGAGGTATCAACAGATATTTAACCTATTTCTACAGAATAGGTGGTAGTTTGGCTGGTGGTGGAATCCAGGTGAATTTCATCCCGCTTAAGACTCGTCAACTCAATGTGCCTGTATTAAAGTTTTGATGCTCCATCAGAACTCAAGCCCAGTGCCTTTCGCTTCAAACACTTACAAATAATGTGGTTGTCCTTCCGATTGACGTAAAATTTATTTTGAACAAATGCTTATCATCACAGTAAGGATATCCGCGCTCAAAATAATGTATTTCCCGACTGTAACTACTACCTTAAAGTGGTAGGTTGAGATTGCATATTGTAATAACTCAGCCGAGATATAGTGACGTATTTTGGATGGTCCACTAGGGTGCTTTGTATCTGTGTGGTTGCGCTACAGGATTGAGCTGTACTATTCAGGTTGTAGCGTTAAAGCCTATACGGTGTCTAGTTCTCCTGTGAAACGGGATTCAGCTGTACTGCTCGGGTTATAAAATTTAAGCCTGGGTGGTGTTTGGCTCTCCTGTTAAACTATATTGAGCTGTACTGTTTGGGTTGTCATGTGAATGTCTGGTCCTTCTGAAAACCAATTTAACATTACCCTGACCCACAAGGGTATATATGGCAGGTCTACTGGAGGACGACGATAAAACTAAAGCCAGGGGTTAAATCGAACTGACGACTGTACAGGGGTATAATAGTAGTACAGTTTTTCCATCAGATTACTATCATCTATAAAGATATTGCTTTCTCGTAGTAGAATGAAGAGGTTAGAAAATGTCGGACCTAAAAATGTCACAACTTATTTTACCCCATTGATTTCCATCTATAATAGTAAGGCATTTTGAAGTATAAAGCAAATAGATTAAAAAATTTCCACGAAATGTGTATAACCATCCCCAAGCAGTTGTTTCTTTCGCTTGTTCGATTACATTCCCAACTCGTTAATAATAACATTGACCCTAATTTCATTTTCAATTGACACCCCTCGAAGAAGGAATATTGTTTTATGGTGTGGACAGGCAATCGGGGAATCGACAACTTTCTTCATACCTTTAACAGAATATGAAGTCATCTGTCTGTTATGTATTTATTTTTAATATATACATATAAATTGTGTTTTATTTTTGGTATAGCAACAGAAAAGAAATATTCGTCTAACTCATACATATAGAACAAATTTAAAAATATATGGTAGTTTTCATGCAAACGCTAGAGTACCACATACAAGATATATATATATATATATATATATATATATATATATATATATATATATATATATATATATATATATATATATATATATATATATATCAAAGAAAGAAGTCAATATAAGAATAGATTAAGGCATAAATCATGATTATGATCGTTGTCGTTATCAATGATAACGATTATTATGAAAGATATATATACTTATATCTAATAGAGATATGTAATATGTAATATTTAATTATCATTGATTATACTACTTATATTATCATTAGTAGTTGTTTGTAATGAATAATTATGTGATGCAGAACCATTATCATTATTGCTATTATGTTCATCATTTGTGGTAGATTCATTTGTTGTTAATAAATCGATTAAGTGTTGTAATGGAACAAGTTCACGTTTTTGAACTAAATTAAATTCCTATAAGTATAAAAAACAAAAGCAAATATATTAAACATTGAAAGAGCAAATTCAATTGATGTTGTTTTAATTATATCTTCCCATTGTTATATAGGACTACAATTGATCAGTCTCATGTTGGTATGTGTACATCCTGTGTGGATTGCCTCGATATAGCCTTACATCACAAGCTTTTTAAGCAAAGATGGATAGTGACTAGCAGTGGAGGACGTGCATTTCGTCCTGTTCGGGACTCGTCAGCGGGATGTACATGCATCTCATAGTTAATGTTCACTCTGGGACTCGAACCCAGCACCGTCCGCCTCAAGCGCCATCGCGTTATCCACTTAGCTCCTGAGTCCTGATGGCCACCTACTTGTGCAATGGGGTGAAGTTTAAATTTACTTGGTGTTGTTTCACTTGTATCTTCCCATTGTTATTTAGGACTGTAATTGATCAGTCTCATGTTGGAATATGCGCATCCGGAGTTAAAATCAATTATACGGTGCAGGTATATCCAGCTGACGAGTCTCGATAGGACGAAACGCGCATCAAAATGGATTCCACTGCCAGCCACTATCCATCTTCGATTGAAAGAGCACTTTATGCACTATAACACAAGTATTATTTAAAGAAATGCTTTGATTTATACCCTATTACTCAGTTGTAGATATATAGAAGATATATACGTAAGTATTTCATTGTAAATGTATTGGAATTATCAATGTTAAATAGTTGGACCTGCTCGATTTAAGTCTCGTGCTAATTGGAACTCAACAACAATCTATACCTACTAATGTTGAAAGAATTGATACTTCCCATGGCGATGGGACATGCATCATCCAGTTGTATAGTTTGAGACGTTATTAATGGGCTATTCAGACTGTAGTGTTAGTCATTAGTTTTAGCCCATAATATATCTTATTCTAGTTTTCGGACATTCCATTATGTTCATTCTACTTGAGTCATATGTTGACCTTGTTAATTATTCGCTTGTCAGTCTTGATTGTTTTTATATGAGCGTATATGTGTGTACACATCATGTCCCATGACTCATCACATGTCTGTAGTTTATTTTGTCTGCCTATAAATATTGAGTAATGCCTGGCTTGAAATGGAGTTGGCTTACCAGCCATTTCCACTCTGCGTCACTTCTCTTCCTCCTACTCCATTCACCTCATATACAAAATATATGTATTCAAAATCCCATTCTCGTTATTTGACTTATTTAATTCCGTTATTGGATAACGTGATTTAAGTCGACGATTATATACGGGAATAGGCGATAGCAAACATCCATTGATCGAAATGGTAGTCAGATCCACGGGCCACTTAAAGACTACAATTTATCTCCTTTTGCACTGAGATATGCATATAAATTAGTTACTCTACAGTATAAGTAATCTCTTTGTGTTCGTCATAACATAGCTATTGACAATATTCAAACCTGATTGTTAGAAGATTGTCATGTTTGAAATTGTTTATCAAAAACCCAACTGACAGTATCAACTATCATGTTGCTTATCCATTAATGATATACTAGCGATCGTCTCATACACATTAATTAGATGAATCTACCTAGCGGAGTTGAAAAATCCAGATTCCAAACCAATGATGCACACGGGCTCTCATATCTTCAGGGAAGGAATAGAGTATTTACCGATTTTGTTTACAGAACGGGAACTAGATTTTCTGATGTTACTCTACTATTTTGTGTATTGAACTGATAAATCAAGCAACAGGCCAATAAAACAAAACTGACCAAAGAATGGACGAGCTGAAACCAATTTTTAATTTTATCAATGAAGGTTTATAATATTAGATTAGAATGATAGGTTAGAAATACTAATCAGTAAGTTAACACATTCTGACAGGGTTCAAATCCTCAGTCTATGACTTTATAGAACTATTTCATAGGTTAATCGGCCTGCTGACCTTTAATTTTTCCTTCAATTTAATCTTCTAGTATCAGCGATAGATAATGGTTAACTATTGAGCAACTAATACTGACGAAACATTGAAAACAAATTTCTATTGATTTGTTACCTTTTGTGATCATGTAATTTATGTGTATAATCCTGTAGATTTCTTGGGTAGGGATAACAATATTATTATAAAAAGGAATTCTGCTTATCATATTTAATTTCCGATAAGTTACTAGGGATAAGAGAAGCTGTGTGAATCAATAGGAATTAGGACTCAATCATATAATTTGAAGTTATAACAATTTATTCAGGATATAAAAAACTAAACGCTATAACAAGCTCGCTCAGTGTTCTCCTTTTACATAAAGAGTACTTCAGTCAGTCAATTATAACACAGGATAAGGCATATACATGCATTGGTCTAAGTTGCCACATCTCATTAGTAAAGCAAAACAAATATCAGATTCATAGAAGCAGTTAACTTAATGGTGCATTATTTAAAGGAAAAGGTTTTATGTAAGGATATAGTACGGAAAGAAAGATACCCCTAGCAACAATCAAGACCGCTGTAAAGATCGACAAATATGTAAATAAAAACGAACTAGGTCAATTAATACTTACCAATACAAAATATATAAAATGTTTAAAACTTGTATTTAAATGAGCTTCTTCTTGTAGATCTCGTACTTCAGAAAAATGTTGATAATAAATATGTGCATAAACTCGAAATAAACGTTTTAATATCACTTTGACTACATTAAGAAAATCACGTGGAAATGGAGCACCTATTAAAAAAAATATTTAATATTTAGATTATATGTCAATGATAAATATTTTAATAATGAATTGACTATTCTATTTAATAAGATACTAACGCTAGTATATCATATGATTACATAATCATTCTAATGAGTGATTTCTTTACAATTGAAGAATATAATTTTCAATTAATAGCTAAAAGAGTTTAACATATAAATAGTGGTACAAAAGGGCACTGAATACATATACGCCATACAAGTTACTTGATTTGTGTGTGAGCTATGATACTATTTGGGTGTATACACCGAAATAAGTGGTTTCTTAGGGGGGCCACACGCGGAGCTTTCGACCTAAAAGTCTAATCCACAAGGCAGTGAAGCAACGTCAAGAGATGCAGTCACATGGTAGTCAGTGATCAACGATTGGTTCATATACCATTTGTTCCTTCAGGGTCATAAAGCCCATGTACATCATTGGTCTAGAATGAGGGTTTTCCAACTCCAATTGGTGGACTCTCCGTTTCCACTATCTCGGTTAAAGCGCCGGATATCTGCTTTTCGTCCTCTCAATTCTCTCACAGCAAGGAGGGGAGTAGAACTTCCTTAGCAGTGCCTGTATACGCGTGGTCATGTGAAAGAATTTCAACAGGGAGAGTTGACTCCCTCCACCTTCGGCCTTATCAAGGCATTCGTGGGTGCCGTCTCTGATTACACAGTTTTATCGTTTCTTTAAAGAATAACCTAAATGATATTTTGGCCCCCAAATGCCCGGGTGCGACCGAGAGTAGGGAGAGTCATCTCTACCTCACGAAATGCTCACAAATGGCCACGAGCGTACAATCACTGCCATGAAAGCCCTACTCACTGCCTTCTCATAGTATTACTGTTATTTACGAAATTGAGAGAATGAAAAGCGAATGTCCGGTTGGTGGACACGAGAGTCCACCTAGGGGAGTTGGAAAACCCCCATTCTAAACAAATGGTGCACATGAGCTTCAATATATTGAGGGAACAAATGGCGTATGGACAAATTGTTGGTCACCGGCTACCATGTGACTGCATCTCTTTAGGTTGCCCCACTGCCTTGTGGATCAGACTTTTAGATCGGAGGCTCCGGGTATAGCTCCCTAAGAAAACCGCCTGGTTTAGTTTGAGCACCCGGACAGTATCCCAGCACTCACGGAAATCGATCGATTTATGTGGCGCATATCTATTTGGTGCCTCCTTTCACCAATGTTTATGTGTTTAAATAAATGAAATAAATATTTTGCTGTTGCCTGACTGGTTGTCATCGAATTTAGTTATAGACCACAAGATCACCGCATGTTACCATAAAAATGGTTTGTTCACTACCAACTGTTGACTTTTGGTTGGAATATAAAGTTATCCTGGAAATCTCTTCATCTCTATAAACATTGAACGGGTATTATTTGACAGTACCTACACAACTCAGCCTAACGATTACGGACTTTATAGACTGATGACACACTTTGATATGACAGTCCCCAGTTTTCTTCCAATCAACTCTTGACCAAGAGACATGAAGTAGAAGGTGGTTGGTGATTATTAAAAAGAATGGCACTTATAGCACAGTTTAAATCAACTTCTAATACTACTAGTATAAGGTTGTGGAGATTGTTAAATTTCATTAATATTATGAACCGACTTTAGTTTGACAACCTTTGAAAAACTGAAAAAACTAAACGACTGTTTCGTCCCTGTATGGGACTTCTAAGCACTGCATGTCCGCAACTCTACCACCGGAAGTTTGATTCAGAACTTACGATCACGCGCGTGAACGCATAACCTCTAAACCACTGAGCCCGAATTCAGTAGTATATTTAATCAATCTATGATATCGATTAACCATTTCCCATTATCTTCAGTGGATTACTTCCTCAAACCCAAACACGATTGAGGTTCACTGGTCATGGCTTTTCACTAGAACTCGAGAAACTATTTTAACCAGGATTATTGATTTTCGTGTAGTTGTTTCATGGAAAACCAGTAAAACGATGAATTACATATACAGTAATCTTGAGTGCTGTTAGAGGCATGAGGGTGGTTATCACTTCCCGATTGCCCACACCGTGGAAGGGTTCTTCTGAAGGTACCTGAAAAGGAAATTGGATTAGAGGTGGTCTTAGTGACCTGAAATCGTGACCGCAGAGCCCAAGAGCCAACTGCTTGAGGTTGGTTACACACGACCTTTTTGTGGGTAATTTTCGCGATAGCTCCGTACTTGTTGAGACCTTACCGCCGGAGACGGATATCCGTGGGATAAGGCGAGGTGTGCATTTTTAGGGTCGACCTTTTCTAACCCCACCCCTCCTTGTGAGAAGGCAGCATCACTGTCATGCTGGTTGTCTGAAGGAAACACCTTACTGCCATCACACCTCTGAACAGTCAGCAGTACGACTTCGCCTTCGGACCTTGGGTTTGTTGCTTTTAGTCTTACCGCTCTTCAACCGACCTGTCTGACATGGTAGGACCTTGAGGAGCAGTTGTTCCAGCCAGTATAGCTCGATTGGTTCATCACGATAGGCAAGCCCGACAACTTCGTTAAGGTAGCAACAACGGTCGGGAAATTACTTATACAGAGATATATAAGAAATTGATCAAAAGACATTATGGTTAAAAAAACTCGTCTGTTACAGATTCGAGCACAGTTTCAACGATTTTGGCTTTTGCAATCAAACTGTAGTATATATATATATATATATATATATATATATATATATATATATGACTCAAAGTTGAATACAAAAATATGCAGTATTTAACTTTGTTCACTTGCTCCCAATTCAACATCGAACAACACAAAAACTGTGTATCATTGATTTTCTTTCCGATCGATTACAAACATTTTAGTAAGATCTAGGTAACTATATGTTGTTTGAATTAGAAATGTTTTGTTACATTTTTACTAATAACCGTAAAAATTAGGACATTATGAAATGACCTCGAGAAGGACATAGTAATACAAAGAAACTGCCCATATGATCTAACATCACTTTAAAAAAATGTTTATTTCTTGTATGTTGTTTTCATTAAAAAAAAACATCCAGATATCATCGGATGATTTTAACATGACATGAAATATAGTTCGATAGACATTGATCTCATTGTATTACATATAGACAATTCAAAAAAAAATATTTTGGATGTAGTATTTCAGTTAAAAGTAAAAATATCAATATGAACAATGATCTGTGCGAATGTAAAGTAGCTGGAGGACAAAAATAGTGTCGAATTTCATTAAAGGTGGTGGTGGTGGTCATCAACTTCTGGTCAACCATATCGTAGAAGGATAATTCTTCTCAAGGTAACTGAAAAGAAGTCAAATGATCAATAGTGGTTTTGACGACCCAGGGAAAGTGACAGTAAAGTCCCATGGGATAGCTGTTTGAGGCCAGTCGCGCAAAGCCTTTGTGTGAGTAGATTCAGATAAATTAGTTCAGTATGTATGAGGCCCTAACCAGCAATGACGGAAATTAGTAGGTAAAAATGAGATATGCAATTTTTATGGTCGGTTTTTTACCGTTGTGAGAAGGTAACATCATTTGAAATGCTGGTTATTTGGTGGAAATAACTTACTGCTGTCACATAGGGCAGACCTTCAGACTATCAGTTTGCTGCTCTTAGTAATACCGATCTTAAACTGACCTGTCTAGTATGGTAGAACCTAAGGGAATAAATATTTTAGCAAATATAGCTCGACCAGTTTGTCACGCAGAGATCCTGGACCACCACGTCAAGGAAGCAGCTAAAGTCATGAGGCAGTAAGCGAGAGGCACCAGGATATATATTTCCAACTAGTTAACAGGAATTATCAACAAGGAGCATTTGCAATCTTGACTGGACGAATGCCGCCTATTGGTTTTTCAAGCATACGTTGTCCAGTATTACTACCGAACTTAATGGCAATAGTGTATATATTGACGGTTGACCGAGGTTAGCATTTAGATTTCAAATAGATCGATAGAATAAGATCAACACGAAAAACTAATCAAATATGAAACTGTTTACTGATTAGTGATAAGTCAGCCTAATGCTATGGTCACTGATTTATGGTGGTTTCGGGTCTTTGCAAGCACTCAACTCTCAGTAGTTGATGTTCCAATGTTTAGTAGCCTTCATAAATTAAAAAACGTCCGTACTAACACAGAAAAACACACACACTAGCAATGGGTTAGTGATAATGTTGGATACAACAAAGCATGCTGCGCGAAGAGAATAACTAATAATAATGATAACACCAGTTGGTTACGGATAGTTTTGGATCTAGAGTGTAGATAACTTGGAATGGTACAAGTTACGGTGCCTCATAAAATCAAGATAATGATATCACATTCTAGATTTGAAGAAGATAAAACGACTTAGATCAACATTATTTACGATTTCCTGGACTGATGCTGCTGAGTATGCTCTGTATATTGACACGATGACCCAATCAGAAGTAGACAAATGAGGTCACTTGATGGCAATCAAAAGTAAGTTGGCGGGCAAGTGCATTTCATTGACCAAGAAATGAATTGACTTTCTAAGGGATAGAAATGTATTTATATAAGTGAGTATTTATGCATGTTATTCGGTAGCCCAATAGAATTTCTGTTCCACTTTGGTCTTCTTGTTCATATAGTCAGTTTGAAGGATTAGCGCATAGCGCGCTGTGTATCAGTATCAGATCTCCGATACCCACCATCATATCACATACACTTTGGTTTAAAAGCTCAAACATCATTTATATTACTTGTTATTATTATCTTCTTTTTCCCACTTTCAATTAATAGGTCCCTCTTTCGCTATGAAATTATTGATATAATTCTAAATCATTACATATTACTGTAGTTGATTCGTTATTTTCTAAATTTTATGGTTTGCTCATATCCAGTGGTAATACCATGTTAATTCTAATGAAGTCATGGCCCTGTGACGGTCATTCAATTAATGCCTTGAAATACTAACTTCGGTGGCTTGGATATACATCACGAATGTCACCGCAGAACATTTCTTATCGGGTATTAACTGCCAACGTCGAAACTGGATAGAAAAAGCGAAGAGATGATTAGTTTGTGATATAGTACACTGGTATGAAAGAGAGTACTTTATGTTTAGCATATGTAGTATGTAATCGCTCCACTCAACATTAATAATAAATCAATCTAATAATAATAATTCATAAACTAAAAACCTACCAATTTTCGATGGAAATATAGCTTCATTCTCTAATTGTTTTTGAATCCATATCATTAAACAATCAATATAATGTGGTGCAGAACATTTCAGTGGTTTTTTCACTGTTTGCCCATCAGCCCAATGATATTCATACTTTGGACCAGCTGACATAATTGGACATGTATCGTCCGTACAAAATTCAAGTAATGTACCATAAAGCATATTAATTTGATTGAAAAAATCTACAGCTATAAGAAGATATGCATATACAGTTATTTTTATTAGGTGAACAAATAAGCAAAATAGATAGAATAATAGTGTTTGGTTAAGCATTATTTCTGTATAACAGTATGGTATTATATGATTACTAACGACCAACTCAGACGTGATTATTATTCCTGGTGTTTTAGTAAGAAACGGCGACCAGTAGACTTCAACTATGTCGGCTGTGAGGAAAGTACTCACTGAAGGCAATGGAAAATGGTTGGACAATATTGTGAATTGATTAGAGTTAAACTTGTACACTTTTAGATCTCGGCTCAGGGAAACCAAAGGTCCTGGGTTACACTGCTAATGACAGAGTCCTGGAGGAGTTAAATACTAGGATGAAATAACTATCCAGCTCTTCGACGTTTTCAACAATCGTCAAAATTAGATCGGTTCGTGATCTCAATACATATGCTAGGTTAAATATTGTCGTAAAAAATATGTATAATTTTAATAGCTCATATTCTATTTGAATAAGAATCTTTTTTCTCATTAGGAATTGACGTTATCAGAGTTGAAAAACCATTAAACATAAGAAAGAGTGAACATTATACACTCAGGAGACTACACAGGATCAAACATATAACTCTATTGTGTTGATAATGAGAAGAATTTAATCTAATAAATGAATACATGGGAAGAATTTTAATACTACCAAAAAGATATTATTATTATGAGATCAGATTTAATTCCATTCACTACCTCAGACGTATTAGAATAGATCAATTAGAATTCGACGGTGTACATTATTAGTTTAGAATCAAGGTTTCTCAAATCCCTTAAGTAAATCCTCAATATCCATCAATCTGTTTAAAGCGCTGGATATTCGTTTTTTGTCCAATTAATTTTGTAAACAACACTCACGTGATGTCAATGCAATCAGTACAACTCCCTTTACATAGTGGTTATAAACACACCAAGAGAGGTTGATCAAATGGGAATGGGGTAATAAGCATTTTTTTGCATGATATCAAGATGACCTTGGTAAAGTCAAATTAAACTTGTTTATTAAAAGTACAGGACTGAATATGACCAATCAATAGGTAGAAAGGTCTTATTTTGAATAGACTTTATAATCCAGCAGCACGATGACAAATTAGTGTCACAGTAGTTTGAATAATAGGAGGATCAGATGCAGACGTAAATGCGACGATTGGTAAAGCAAGGACAGTATTTCTACAAATGAAGAACATATGGAACTCCAAACAACTGTCAGCTTATATCAAAGTTAGAATCGTTAATACAAACGTCAAGACAGTTAGTTGTATTGTACGGAGCTGAAATGTGGAGAACTACTACAACCACCATCAAGAAGATACAAGTATGTATAAATAGTTGTTCACGCAAGATAATCAACATACATTGGCCGGATACCATCAGCAACAGCCTTTTATAGGAGAGAACAAACCAGCTTCCAGTTGAAGAGGAAATTAAGAAAAGACAACGGAAGTGGATAGGATATATATTACGGAAATTATCAAAATGCATCAGGATCCAAGCCCTAACTTGAAATCCTGAAAGGAAAGCGGAAAAGAAGAAGATCAGAGAACACATTACGTTGGGAAATAGAAGCAGATATGAAAAGGATGAATAAAAACTGGAAAGGATTGCCCAGGACAGAGTTGGATGAAGAATGCTGGTGGGTGGCCTGTGCTCCTCGATGAGGGTTATTAGGCGTAAGTAAGTAAGATTGACTAATACAGCATGAATAAATTAGTTATATAATTCAAGTTAACTGATTCTACATTTAAAGATTATTATTATTCTAGAATACTTAAACGCTATACTAAACAAAATGACAATATTGTAAAGGGAAACAATAGGGAAATATTGATAGAGGAAAGATATGATTCACTTGAAGTGAAATTGAAAATAGTTTATTTTATCTGAAGAAAATTCATTTTATTTCAGTCAGTCAGTCAGTTACAACGTAGGACCAGGCACATATGTGCATCGGTCCAGGTTGCCATACCGCATCAGCACAACAAGATGAACACCGGATTCATAACAGTGGTTAGGTAAAAGGTGGTAATATATAAGAGAAAGATTGCATATAAGGATATAGTACAAGAAGAAAGAATTGGTTCGTAGAAAGAAAGATATGAAGCGATTTTAATCTCTTAGTTTAAGGGAAGACAGGGAGTGTATACACCGACGCCATTGTGATCGATTCTGAGCCATGTCACCAAGAGTCTCCAACCATTGGTTACGATAGTCACGCGGACCCCAACCAAGTAGTCTGCATCTACCAACATGGCTCAGACTAGAAGTTAGTGACTTCAAGCACTGATGCCACGTTTTGGTTTGGCCGCCCCTAACTTTCTTCCAACCATTTCCAATACCGGATAGCATTGCACGTCGTGGTAATCGGTGTTCAGGCATACGTAACACGTGACCCAACCATCTCAGTCGATGAAGATTCATAACCTCATCAACTGATTTACCATCATTTCCTAATACCCTGCGTCTAACCTCACTATTACTTACCCGATTATCCCAGCAGACGCCAGCAATATTTCTAAGGCATCTGTGGTCAAATACTAGTAGCTTACGAGTGTCTTCTACCCTTAAAGGCCATGTTTCGCTGCCGTAAAGTAGAACAGAACGGACTGCCTCGCAGTATACTCGTCCTTTTATTGATAGACGGATATCTCGCCTTCGCCACAGGTGACGTAAGTTGGCAAAAGCCAAACGAGCTTTTCGAATCCGTGCTGAGATTTCGTCAGACACCAACCCATTAGGGATGATCAGACTTCCAAGATAAGTGAAGTTGTCAACGCGTTCGACTACTTCACTCCCTATCCTTAGTTCAGGTGTTGACGCAGACCAGTCCTGAAGCAACAACTTGCATTTAGAGGGAGAGAAGCGCATTCCAAACATCCTGGCGTTGTTGCTCAGTGCTACCAGAAGACTTTGCATTTTGCCAGCGTCTTCACCAAACAGGACTATGTCATCTGCGTATTCTAAGTCGATAAGTGGATCTCCTGGTAGGAGATCAATACCCGAGAACTCAGTCGACGAGAAAGTTATTTCCATCAGTAGATCTATGATGAAGTTAAACAAAAATGGGGAAAGTGGACATCCTTGACGGACACCACTTGAGGTTACAAAAGTAGATGACAGTTCACCATAAGCTCTGACTCGATTAGTAGTGTTCGAGTAAAGAGCCTTCACAAAGTCTATGTACTTCTGAGGTACGCCTTTCAATGACAGACACTGCCACAGAACCTCGCGGTCTACCGAGTCAAATGCTGCTTTTAAGTCAAGAAAGACCACTATCGTCGGACGCCGATAAGTATGCCTATGTTCTAGAACCTGACGAATGGTGAATATGTTGTCGATGCAGCCACGACCAGGTCTGAAGTCAGCTTGATTCTCTTGTGTTTGCAGTTCACGAGTCTTAGTTAGGCGTCTGATAATTATTGAGGCTAGCATTTTAGATACTATATTAGTTAAACTAATCCCTCTGTGGTTGTCACAGGATGATTTTAACCCTCTCTTATATATTGGGACGATAAGTGATTGTGACCAGTCAGATGGGATAACGTCTAACTCCCAGATCTTAGCTAAAATATTAGTCAACCTAACCGCTAAAATTGGACCACCATCCTTAAAGACTTCTCGAACCATTCCATCTGGACCAGCTGCCCTTCCTCGTTTCAGATTATCTATAGCCTTTTGAACTTCAGCAAGAGTTGGGGGACCTACTTCAATGTTCCATTCACGCTGTCTGGGAATGGATGGTAGTTTTAGAGTCGCTGAAGGCCAGCTGAACTGTTCCCTAAAGTGTTCCGCCCATCGTTCTAAACGTCTGGACTGGGAATAGATGAGAGTATCGTCTTTTTCCGATATAATCTTACTTACACTTGACTTATTAATTCCAGTTTCTTTTATTAGTCTGTAAAGTTGTCTTGTGTTCCCTATAGTCGCCGCCTTTTCCATCTCTTTTGCTTTCGTTGCCCACCACTGCTAACGGTCGTTTCCTAAACTTTTTCTTAACCTAGATCTGATTTGTTGTCGCTCTTCATCATGTTCGGAACCTGATGGGACGAGTTTGCGAGAATCCATCAGTGTGATAGACTTTGAAGAAATCCACTGGTTCTTTGAAACTCTGTGGTTTAAATCACTGATAGATGTCACTGCTGCTTCCACAGCTGCTTGTATGTCTTTCCAAGCAACATCTGGGTCAGCCTCGCCTTCAGAACTACCTAAGTGTGAACTCAGTTGTTCTTGGAACCTATTTTTGGTTTTCTCGTTACTCAACTTAGTTCTAATGGGTCTTTTCAATGTGGCTTTTTTGCGTCCGGTGAGGCGCAAGCAGAAGCGTGCCCGTATTAGGGCGTGGTCGGAGTCCAAGCAGGTACTCCAGAATGAGCGACAATCTTCTACCGACCCTCTCCAACCATGACTGATGGCAATATGGTCTATTTGAGTCCATCGTTGGTTTGGTGTAGGGGGTCGCCATGTTAGACGATGTCTTTCCTTATGCTTAAAATTTGTGTTTGCTAAAAATAAGCGATTGTCTGAGCACAGTTGCAGCAGACGATCACCATTATCTGTTCGCTGTGCCGGAATGCTAAAATATCCACCTAAATGCCTTTCTGTGTGGTTTAAGCTACCTATCTGAGCATTAAAGTCACCCCCTACGAGTACTATGTCTGAGCGTTTAGCTTTCTGAAGAAGTTCAGATAACTTTCTGTAAAATTCATCTTTCACATCATCTGAGCTGCAGTCAGTGGGAGCGTAGGCAGAAACGACAAAAAGGCAACGACGTGTGTCCCTATCCTTCCGAGTTCTTACGGAGCCGTTTAGCCGAACAGCACATAGACGACTGTTGACGGGGATCCACTCTAACTGTGCTTGTTCGGCCCTCATGCTTAGTGCTATGCCTACACCTGCCAGTCCACGAGAACTGGCCATCGGGTCACCAGATACACGTAGGGTGTATCTCGTTGGCTCTCCGTTTTGCCGAGGTGAGGTC